AAACTGAAAAAAAAAACTAAACAAAAACAGCTTCAAAGGCCAATTTCAATGCATCAGTCAACCAATAAGAACAAGTTCACTCAATTTGGAGTAAATGTAATCCTCACCATGTAATACAAGCCATGCGGCCTAAAATAGAAATGAAAGGCAAAACATCTGTGTATAGATATAAAAAAAACATTAGAAATACTTTTTTCCACCCTTTTTTATAAGGGATCACTTCCCCTCTGTTTTCAGCTGCATAAGGATCTGGGGTAGGAGAGACAGCAGAACACTGATCTTCCCAGTAAATGACTGTGCCCGGGGGGGGGGGGGGGGGGGGGGTGTCAGGCAGGGATAGATCTAGCCTACCTAACCTACCTAGGCTGGAGTTGCATTATAATATTGCAGAGGGCAGAATATCAACAGCACAACCCGGAAATAATGTCTGACAGGTAGTGCGGAGGCAGTTCTCATCAGAGTCCCTGTTTACATCAACTGAGCCCCCTTGCATCAACTATTTGCATCAGAGTGTCCCCTTACATCAACTATCCACATCAGAGCCCCCCTTACATCACTTTTTCCCATCAGAGTTACCCCTTGCATCAACTGTCTGCACCAGAATGCCCCCTTACATTATGTGTCCCCATCAGAGTGCCCCATTACAACCCCATCAGAGTGCACCCTTACATCCCCATCAGTGTTCCCCCTTACATCAGATATCCCCATCAGAGTGCCCCCTTACATCCCCATCAGAGTGCCTCCTGACATCAGATATCCCCATCAGAGTGCCCCCTTACATCTCCATCAGAGTTCCCACTTACATCAGATATCCCCATCAGAGTGCCCCCTTACATTCCCATCATAGTGCCCCCTTACATCCCCATCAGAGTGCCTCCTTACATCCTCATCAAAGTGCCCCCTTACATCCCCATCAGTGTTCCCACTTACATCAGATATCCCCATCAGAGTTCCCCCTTACATTAGATGTCCCCATCAGAATGCCCCCTTACATTCCCATCATAGTTCCCCCTTACATCCCTATCAGAGTGCCTCCTTACATCCCCATCAGTGTTCCCACTTACATCAGATATCCCCATCAGAGTGCCCCCTTACATTCCCAGCATAGTGCCCCCTTACATCCCCATCTGAGTGCCCCCTTACATCCCCATTAGAGTGCCCTCTTACATCCCCATTAGTGTGCCCCCTTACATCCCCATCCTGTTGCTCCTTACATCAACTGTCCCCACCAGAATGCCCCCTTACAGGAACTGTCCCCAGAGTGCCTCGGGGATCAGTGGATTCCCTGTTAGAGACCTGGGAGGGGAAACAACCAAAATCTGGAGGGGCCACAATCAAAATATGGGGTGGTTACAGCCCACCCCAGCACCCCCTAGATCCAGGGGAGGAGGTCACAGCCCACCCCAGCACCCCCCCCCTAGATCCAGGCCTGGGCCAGGGCAAGTCTGATCATTGGAGGAGAGCAGGCTGAGTTCCCAGCACAGCTAGATAACTGACCACACTGTGCTCTCATGCCAAGTGTGGTCAGTTTTGAATAGGAAAGCATAAGGAACACCAGAGATTTCACACAAAGGAAGCAATACAAAGAGAACAGGAGACTTCTTCATACAAGCACATGGCACAGCCGGCACAGATCAGGAATAGGACGTGTTGGGTTGACATATTCTTTAAAGCTAAAGCGTCATCTGCTTATATGTTGTCATCCCTGCCCCTCCCCCGTCATGAGAATGACACCTTCCCGTTTATATTCCATACCTGTATGACACCAATGGGTCTGTGCAGCGGCAGTGCTGTGGTGTCAGTGTTCCTGTGGAGGAGGGTTCTAGGAGGACGGGCTGCTAGTGTAAGATTAGTACAGATACAAGTGGAATTTAACAGTCTGAGTAAAACATTGAGCTGAAAGATTTGAAAATTAACACGGATGTCCCACATGAATCCCTAAAAGGTGTTATATATTTACTCGGTTAAATTAGTGAACGATGAGAGCGAGCGTGAGCTCCTGGGCCCACAAAGCTCCCCCCCCCCCCCACCCCTCTCCCATTCCTACTGTTAGGAAATTCAAATTTAAAAAGAATCTCTGTAGACCAGGGATGTCAAACTGGCGGCCCTCCAGCTGATGCCAAACTACAAGTCCCATCATGCCTCTGCCTTTGGGAGTCCTGCTTGTAACTGTCAATCTTGCAATGCCTCATGGGACTTGTAGTTTGGCAACAGCTGGAGTTTGACACCCGTGCACTAGAGTATAAAAGCACTAAGTCCTGCTTCACTCTGCTGCCACTTCTGGTGCGACTTTGCAACCTGAGGCTAGGGCTGCTGTTAGAAACCACGGGGCCCCATACAGCTAACCTGACAGGGCCCTCCTCAAATAAACACTATGCTTCAGTTATGAATGAACACAGTGAGTGTTCGGTACCGATCCCTCATTGTGTTCATTCAGGAAAGGAAGGGGCTGGAAAATGTGACATATTTAATGGACCCTTCCCCCACTCTCCATCCTGAAGGATCCTATTGCATGCTGGCAGCTGCCGGTGGGAAGGAGAAGAGAGAAGATGGCAGCACTGCCAGGTAGGGGTACACAGGAGGTCCTAGGCAGTCGAGGGAAACATATGGTGCAAAGGGAGGGTGATTGGCATGGCAATTCATCAGGGTCTGGCTGAGATACTATCCATCTATGGGCAGACTGGTTGTACTGAAGTCGATCCATCAATCGACTTCAGTACAGTCAGCCTGTAGGATTTTTTCATGCTATCATTGACAGAGATGGATGGATTTGTGGATGGTTTCATTGATGGATTCATGGATGGGTGAATGGATGGATTGATTCGTGGATGGATTTATGGGTGGATGGATGGATAAATTCATGGATGGATGGATTCATGGATGGATTTATGGATGGATAGATTCATGGATGGATGGATTCATGGATAGATCCATGGGTGGATTTATGGATAGGTGGATTCCTGGATGGATTTATGGATGAATAGATTTTTGGATGAATAGATTTATGGATGGATTTATGGATGGATGGATTCGTGGGTTTATTTATGGATGGATGGATGGATGGATTCATGGATAGATTCATGGATGGATGGATTTGTGGATGGATTTATGGATGGATGAATTCGTGGATGGATTCATGGATGGATTTATGGATGGATGGATTCGTGGAGGGATTCGTGGATGGATTCATGGATGGATTTATGGATGGATGGATTCATGGATGGAGAATGGATGGATTCACGGATGGATTTTTAGATGGATAGATTCATGGATGGATTTATGGATGGATGGATTCATGGATGGATTTATGGATGGATAGATTCATGGATGGATTTATGGATGGATAGATTCATGGATGGATTTATGGATGGATAGATTCATGGATGGATTTATGGATGGATAGATTCATGGATGGATGGATTCACAGATGGATTTTTGGATGGAAAGATTCATTGATGGATTTATGGATGGATGGATTCATGGATGGATTTATGGATGGACAGATTCATGGATGGATTGATGGATGGATGGATGGATGGATGGATTCATGGATGGATGGATTCATGGATAGATTCATGGATGGATTTATGGATGGACAGATTCATGGATAGATTCATGGATGGATTGATGGATGGATGGATTCATGGATGGATTTATGGATGGATGGATTCATGGATAGATTCATGGATGGATTTATGGATGGACAGATTCATGGATGGATGGATTCTTGGATGGATTTTTGGATGAATGGATTCATTGATAGATTCATGGATGGATGGATTCACAGATGGATAGATTCATGGATGGATTTTTGGGCAGTTAGATTCATGGATGGATTTATGGATGGATGGATGGATTATTGAATGGATTTATGGATGGATAGATGGATTCACAGATGGATGGATACCCGGATGGATTTTTGGATGGATAGATTCATGTATGGATTGGTGGATGGATGGATTCAAGAACAGATAACTCAATACTAGAGTGAGACCCAACAATCCACGGGTGTGTTCATTCTCCAGTATCTACTAACACTGGAATACCAGATTCGAGTGGGCTGAGGCATTAGTCGGCCCCCAGTCAGCTCAGGCCAGGTGAGGGTGACACCGTTCCTCCAGTCAGTAATATAGGTCACTTCTGTGTGCCGTAGAAAATCCCGCTCAGCCGTGGGAGGGGGGGACAAGGTGATTTCCCTCTGCAGCGATGGAACGGCTTAATCCTCGAACAGGAAACAATTATCCAGTCTTTTATCTGAATGCAGACGGCGGTTTATTTCATGTGAAGGCACATCTGGGGCCCTTTTGTGACCGGAGCCGGTTGGAGCCTGTGAGCTGACGTCTGATACATTCTGTTGGTCTTTAAAGCATAACTGACTTTTGGATGAAGTTAAAGGGGAACTAAACCTAACATAGAAAATAACAGGCAGGGTCATATGACAGAGGAGATTTTGTCTACCCTTCTTTTCCTCCAGGAAAAAAACTCATTTCCTTCCTGCTGTCCTATACATTGACATACATGGCAGGATTACAGATGATGGGTGTAGTTGCCGGATGTTGGGACGATGTTTGCATGCACATCAGCCATGGATGACCAACAGCCAAGGATAATTGATTTTCATACCTGAAAGCAGACCGTGTCAAGATGGCAGTGATGGCAACAGAGCAACAAGGGGGTGGCGCAGGTTGAATCTCTTGAGGATCTGGAACAGCTTTTCCCAATCTTTTTACCCCAGAGGAACCCTTGAAATAATTTTGAGGTCTCGGGGAACCCCTGCTAAGATTAGTTAATTGGGGGTTGCCCCTTACATTGCTGGTCATTACATTGGTGATCATTAGAAAGAATTCCCTTTATATTGGTGGTCAGTAGGAAGAACGCTCCTTACATTGGTGGTCAGTGGGAAGAATGCTCCTTACATTGGTGGTCAGTGGGAAGAATGCTCCTTACATTGCTGGTCAGTGGGCAGGATGTCCCTTACATTGGTAGTCAGTGGGAAGAATGCCCCTTACATTGGTGGTCAGTGGGAAGAATGTCCCTTACATTGGTGGTCAGTGGGAAGAATATCCCTTACATTGGTGGTCAGTAGGAAGAATGCTCCTTACATTGGTGATCAGTGGGAAGAATATCCCTTACATTGGTGATCAGTGAGAAGAATGCTCCTTACATTGGGGATCAGGCAGAAGAATGCTCCTTACATTGGGGGTCAAGGAGAAGAATGCTCCTTACATTGGGGATCAGGCAGAAGAATGCTCCTTACATTGGGGATCAGTGAGAAAAATGCTCCTTACATTGTGGGTCAGTGGGAAGAATGCTCCTCACATTGGTGGTCAGTGAGAACAATGACCCTTACATTGGTGGTCAGTGGGAAGAATGTTCCTTACATTGGTGGTCATTGTGGGAAGAATGTTCCTTACATTGGTGGTCAGTGGGAAGAATGTTCCTTACATTGGTGGTCAGTGGGAAGAATGCTCCTTACATTGTTGGTCCGTGGGAAGAATGCTCCTTACATTGGGGGTCAGTGAGAAGAATGACTCTTACATTGGTGGTCAGGGGGAAGAATGCGCCTTACATTGGGGGTCAGTGAGAAGAATGACTCTTACATTGGGAGTCAAGGAGAAGAATGCTCCTTACATTGGGGATCAGTGAGAAAAATGCTCCTTACATTGGTGGTCAGTGGGAAGAATGCTCCTCACATTGGTGGTCAGTGAGAACAATGACCCTTACATTGGTGGTCAATGGGAAGAATGTTCCTTTACATTGGTGGTCATTGTGGGAAGAATGCTCCTTACATTGGTGATCAGTGGGAAGAATGCCCCTTATATTGGTGGTCATTGGGAAGAATGCCCCTTACATTGGTGGTCAGTGGGAGAAGGAGGAGGACACACTGAAAGAGCTCTCTCTGAGAACCAGCATTATCAAGCCTGGGCCTTGCTTGCTAGCTTGGCCCAGGAACCATGTCTGATCCAGGGGAGGCCCTGGGAGGGATTCCCCTGATGACACTGAGCCTAGTGAGGAGGAGGAGGTGGAGGACCTGACAGTGGGTCCAGGCCCTGGTGAGGATATGGATGTCTTTAGACAGAAGACTATAGATCGATTCTTGGCTATCGGAAGAGCTGAGGAAAAACGTAACGTTTTGAAGGCTAATCATAAATCCTTCAGAGCCAAGTACTGCCAGGCCTGGAGTAAGAACAGATTGGCCATGAAGCCAGAGCTGCAGAACATGGAGGAGAAGGTAAAGAAACAATCTTTATTACTTGAAAAGTTGAAAGCCAGAAGTGGAGCATTTAAAGAAAAGTTTGATAATGAAAGGAGGTTTGCCAACCAGACCTCAGCGAGTTCTGTGGGTCAGCAGCTCCATCTACTTCAGCGTCTCTCCCCCCATGTCAGGCTGCGGAGTTGTCAGTAGCAACCAGCCAGGGGGTTGAGAGTGAACATGGCACCCTGACCTTCATCCAGCAGCTGGAGATATTTTAATGAAATAAAAAATTTTGCAATCAGCATGCTTTTTTTACAAAAATACAAAAGAATAAATAAGAAAAAACTTCATACAGTAATCAAATAACAGAAAACATAAGCAAAAAAAGAACTAGCTATATCTCCATACAATTAAATGACACCTCTAAAAATAGGAAAATAATACTTTAGGCCTTTATAGCCATGATAACTGAAAAACAGCAATTCTTGTGTATAAGGCCTTTCTGACCCGGCTACAAAAAATCAAAATAACATGTCACAATAATAAAATTAAGAAAAACCTGAGGCCTCTACAACCCCATACATATGCCTGTTTTTGTTATGCTCCCTATGGCCACCATCAGCCATCAAAGGATTACACTTAACAACCAAAGAAAAAATGGAACATACCAAGGCCTTTATGGCCTAATACTAGGCATTAGTACAACGTCCCTCTGCGGGGAAAAGCAATTTCCACTGAAAAAACATTGGCCTTTACGGCCAAAAATAAATTTTACATATCTACCCAACCAAAGCTAGACCTTCAGGTGCACATTCATCCAGCAGCTGGAGATATTTTAATGAAATAAAATCTTGCAATCAGCTTACATTTTATACAAAAATACAAAAAGAATAAATAAGAAAACTTCATACAGTAAATAAACGACAGAAAACATAAGCAAAAAAAAAAGAACTAGCTATATCTCCATACAATTAAATGAGACGTCTAAAAATAGGAAAATAATAATTTAGTCCTTTATAGCCATGATAACTGAAAAACAGCAATTCTTGTGTATAAGGCCTTTCTGACCCGGCTTCAAAAAATCAAAACAACATACCACAATAGTAAAATTAAGAAAAACCTGAGGCCTCTACAATCCCATACATATACCTATTTTTGTTATGCTCCATATGGCCAACATCAGCCATCAAAGGAACATACATAACATCCAAGAAACAATGGAACATACCAAGGCCTTTATGGCCTACTACTAGGCATTAGTACAACGTCCCTCTGCGGGGAAAGCAATTTGTACTGAAAAAACATCGGCCTTTACGGCCAAAAAGAAACTTTACATATCTACACAACCAAAGCTAAGAAACTTAGACCTTCAGGTGCACATTCATCCAGCAGCTAGAGTCATCCCTGAGGGCAGACAGGTTTGCCTTTTTTGATGACCCTTCTGAAGTCCCTGAGGATGGACAGAGGAGATACAGATCGGCAAAGCCAGTACTGGTGGAGAAATCCCAGTACACCAACATGGCTGCTTCCAACAAGTCTGCCCCACCGGCTGTGAGTACTGCTGATGAGAAGGAGCTCTGCAAACTGCCTGCCATGGAGGAATCCTCAGCCAACTTGGAGGGAAAATCCCTGACAGAGAGGTCTCCAGACCATCAGGGGAATGTGGAGGAACCTGCATCAAGCACCCCAGTGATGGATGTTACTGCTGAGACAAGTAGCCCCTCTACAGGCAAGATGGCTGCCACCTGCAGAGAGTTTGTTTCACCCGTGCTCCCAGGTGTTCCAGAGCTGATTGATGCTGGTGGGGGAGGGGAGTAGTACACTGCACCATGTGGAGAGCAAACAGCAAACATGGATGCCTCCTGTGTCAGTGAAGTTTCACTTGTGGCTGTGTCTGAAAATTCAACATGGTCCTGGGCTGAGTGTCCTTTCCTGGAGGAAGAGATGAGATCTGGAGCTGAAGTTTCTATGGTTGCAGCATTAAGTGCAGACATTTCTATGAACTCTATGACTGATGACACTGCTAAAGCAATGGGGGTGTTGGTGGTGGGGTTAATGTTGATGGTAAGACTAAAAATGCTCAGCAGAGAGAGGATACACCATCCAATCCCGAATCTGTGCAATCGGTATCTGCTAGAGTTACACCAGATGCTCCCAGACACACAAATGTTTCTGCTGCTGGGAGGAATGAGGGGAGCTATGCCTCTGTTTTGGGGGGTCACACCAAGGAGGGTGGAGGGAGTGTTGGGAATGCTAATGGTCACAATTTGGGGAGGTTTGGTGGTGGGATGGTTGGTGGGGTCAGGAGGAGGAATGTGGGAAGCTATGCTTCTGTTTTGGGGGGTCACACCAAAGGGGCTGGAGGGAGTGTTGGGAATGCTAATGGTCACAATTTGGGGAGGTTTGGTGGTGGGATGGTTGGTGGGGTCAGGGGAAGGAATGTGGTACAGTTGAAGTGGGAGGGGGAGGGAACCCCACCAGTAAGGGGGAGGGTGGCTGAGTTGATTCTGTAGATGGGGTTTAAAGCTTGTGATGTGTTTGCTTTGATCTGCCCAGTTGGCAGTTGTGAATATGATTTGTCATTTGTGAAACCTGAAGGCCTGGATCTTTTTTGGGAGAGATATAGGAAGTGCAGGAGCCTTCAGCAGTGGAGAGGTTTGGTAGAAAAGGTGGTTTCAAGGCAGCCTTTGATAAAATCGGTGACAATCCTGGTCCGGAATGAATCCATACCAGAGGCTGATTTGGTAGTTTGGCTACGCCGATATGGTGAGGTCCTCACCCCACTGCAGAAGGTCCTGGATGAGCATGGGATATGGAAAGGGGCCTGGAGAGTGTTACTGCAATTGAGGGTGCTGGGCAATGTGGTTCAACATCTTCCCTGCCCGGCCCTTTCTGGGGAGGGATAGGCTGACCATGTTCTATCAAGGTCAGCCTAAGGTTTGTAACAAATGCGGAGAGAAAGGTCACTTTGCATCATCCTGCACCATCAAGAAGTGCTCACTGTGCCAGGATTTAGGCTATTTGGCCAAAGAATGCACCCAGATTTGGTGTAGTTTGTACCAGCAGCTGTGTCATCCATATAGTCAGTGCCCAGAGGCACTACACAACCTGCCAGGACTGGAGGCTGAGCTGCAGAGGCTGGATAAAGAAGATGAGGCAGCTGATGCTAGGGAGGAAACTGTAGTTGCCCCTCCTGTGTCTGTTCCATCTGTTGTGTCAGATTCTGTTTCCCCCAGTAATGTCACCCCTCAGTCTGTCCCTCCTGTTCCTAATTCTACGGTACGTAGATCCTCCAGACTTCCGGAAGCTGCTGGGGGGGGGCGGGTTTAGCGGATCTTCCCCCGGCCTACTCCACCTCCGGTACCTGTCCCCCACGACAGCACAAATGTGGTCAGGAGGTTGTGGGGGTGCTGGATGGGGGTGGAGCCAATGGGGCCCAGGGAGGGGTGTCCATGTCCCGTGTCTCACCTCCTGCTGGGGGGGATTCGGCTGATGAGGGGTGGGAGAGGGTGAAGGAGAAGAAAAAGAAGAAGAGGAGGATGAGAAGAGCTGTCCTCTCTTCCTCAGAATCAGACCCAGAAGGGGTCCCTCTTGGCAATACTTTTTCAGTTTTGTCAGGTGATGAGATGGTTTCTGATATCCATTTCTCTATCATCTATGGATGAGGGGGAGTCACATACTCTTAAGAGATCTGTTTCGGGTGATGAGAGTGTGGTAGAGGTTAAGAAACAACTACCCCAATCATCCTGATGGCAGTTCCCGCTCCGTTAAAGGTGACGACCATTAATGTCGCCAGCATTAAATCTGCAAGAGCTCGTGATACGGCCTTATTTTTGCTCAGCGAGTTTGATGCTGAGATTTTATTTTTGCAAGAGACCTGGCTCAATACATTGGCAGATGTCTATCTAGCAAAAAGGGAGTGGAGATGTGGTCCCTCCTTTTGGTCTCTTGCGGCTGAACCGTGCAGCGGAGTTGCGGTTCTTTTTAAAACCGATATGGTAACGTGCCGGCGGGTAATTGAGGTAGAAATGGGGAGATGCATGGTCTTAGACATCTTTGTTAGGAGGCAGGATCTGCGCAAGATCAATATTTATGGACCGCAGTCAAAACGGGGCAGGAAATGCCTCCTCACAAAGATCAAGCCCTTCCTTTTTACGTCCCAGCAGGTTGTCTTTGGAGGTGACTTTAACACCTTAATTAGGCCTGAAGACAGGAGAGGCTCCATAGACAGGCTGGGTTATGATAGCGTTTTTCTCAGAGATTTGGTTAGACAGGCAGGCCTGGTAGATGTGCACATTAAGCACTGCCCTGGCAGCACGGGGTTCACATTTCAGAGAGGGAATAGTCAGAGCAGGATAGACAGGTTTTTTTTAAAGGAGAACTCTGCTTTCTCGGCTCCTGAGTTGAAGGCGGTGGAGTTCTCTGACCAATGTATGCTGTCTGTGACTCTGAATGCCTCGGACACTCCACCCAGGGGAAGGGGTGTCTAGAAACTGAATTCGGCTCTCCTGGAAGATGTAGAGGTAAGACAATCCTTTGAGGATTTTTTTCAGGCACAGGTTTCTATTCTGGACTTTTGCAGCAGTAAGTCAGAGTGTGGTGGGAGCTTGTGAAACAAAGGGCGATTGGACTTTTCAAGGCCATAAGTAAGAAGAAGCAG